TTTTTTTTTTTTTTTTTTTTTTTTTTTTTTTTTTTTTTTTTTTTTTTTTTTTTTTTTTTGAGGGGGAAGGGGTGGCAGAGTTGAATATTTCAGGTAACAATTTATTTGAAACAATCTATAATCAAGTTCATCCTGCCTGATAACTTTTGGTCATATTGATAACCTTTGAATCTTGTGTCGCTACATGCTCACATCATTTTGCACGAGATGAATAGGCGTGACAATTTAATCAATCTCTTCACAATATTTGAGGAATCTCATGAATTTGTATTATCAAAAATCTCAAAATTAAAAACTTACTTGAAGGATATCTGACCAGGGCTGCCTTTGTTGAATTTCAACGTAGGTCCTCTGGTAATGTCTATTCGCTGGGAACATGAACAGTGCTTGTCCTCTGGGTTTCAATAATGTGTAGATTTTGTTCAGTGCTGACCTGTGAAAAGATATTCAAACGCAACCGCTCAGTTTTTGGAGAATGATTTTTCATGACAAGAATTTTCAGAAGACAGAAATCGACAACGGCTGAAAATATAGAATGCAAAAAATCACGCATGTTTAGTCACACATTTTCCTACTATCATGTTCGGCCGGATCGTAAGAACCGCTTGGAATACTAAAAAACATACAGGTTTTTTTTCTTGATTTTTGACTAAGTTCAAAATGAACCAAACTTTTTTCCCCCTGTGTGAACAAAACAACGATGGAATCGAAACCGTTGAAGCAAATTCTTTGCCATTTTTGAATTGTTTCTGACATCCGCTCATCAACCTATTGAGTAGAAAGCTGAGAAAATCCCGCAAAATCCTATTTCCTTCAATGGCCATCCGCGTCAAAATTTCGTAAGAAAATTGGTGCGTGTAGAAAATAGTCCATCAAAAGTTATTGCCAATAACGAACAAATTACCAGTTGACGACTAATTCTAGTTGTTTCTGTGCTCGACTTAGATTCCGTTTAAACCCCACAAAAACCCGTTTATTTTGTATAAAAAACCCAAGCCCTGTCGTATTTGCTTTGCACTTTTTTTCATTTCAAATTCCAAACTTTCTGTATTTGATCTAAATGCTCAAACTCTAAATGCACGCAACTTTCCGTAAAAGCTTCAGGAAGCTAAAGGTATTTGTGAGTAAAAATGATACTTTTCTGGAGCCCTAAGTTGGTTTCGGGCCAGCTAGGCAACTAAACTTTGTCACTCAGCATCATGCGAAAATGAAGTCGCTCTAGGCCGAAATCGTGTCCTTTGCAGATACCTTAAAATGGAAACCTCATTTGAGTTCAGGTGACCCATGTTGGGTTCGGGTCGGCTAGGCAACTAAACTAACGGCGCGGCAAAGCGTGACGTATCAAGGGGAGATGAAGGCGCTTCCAATGTTTCTATGCTCCTCGAATGGGAGGCATCTCTCAGAGAACAAGGCGCATTGGTGCAGTTTTTTCTATTGTGAGAAATACGTGTTTGATGTTTCGAAATTACAATGATTCTCACGGCGAAAAAAAGTTCGAACTAATTTTTTAATGCTTAAAAATTGGAATTTGGGAGCGAATTTTCACAGGATATGCATTATGAATAGTTTTACTTGAAATCATTAATATCTCCATTTTTTCAAAAACTGCATTTATGCGCCTTGTCCTCCTAGCCCCTCACTTCTTTGAGATCAAAATTTCTTACTTGAGATCAAAAATCCAGTTAAGGACGTAAAATGAGAAGATCTTGTCGAATCCGTCTTGGAGGCGGGGGTCCTGGGTGAGCTTGGTGACGTCATCCTGGGCGAGGTCGAAGGTGTCGAAGATGAGCTTGGGGTGGGGGAAGTTCTTGTATCCGTGCTCCTTCATGGAAGGCGAGATGTCGACGCCGACGAGGTGCTTGACGGCGGCGTCCGGGAGGAACGGGAGGAGGACGTTGTGTGTGACGTCACCCGGTCCACAGCCCGCGTCCAGCACCACCTCGTCCTGCGACCATCGCAGCAGCGATTCGTGGTCCCGTAGGAGGGCCGCGATGTCTCTGTACTTGGCCGACGATGCGTTGAACTCCGTGTACAGGTCTCCTTTCTGCATTGTCTACGTCGGATCTGCGAACAGTCATACGTGAAATCGATGACGTCATGTGGATAATTCGGTCCATACTGCCGTGCTAAGGAAAAATGCCGTATGAGCTTTCAGGCGTTGCCAAATATTCTTTGATAAAACACGAATTTCCTGGTAAACATATGAGGACTTATCTGTAACAATAGCGGATGTGAAAAATTACCCTTTCGCAACACGCTTAAAAAACTGTTTTGTTCTCTCAAAAATTTAATATGTTTGGCTCCGGCATAATGTACAGATCTCGAAGATCACATCTCAAGTATTTTCTCAAAATTTTCTCGATGCCAAAACAGTTTTTTGAATGTGTTTCGCAAAGGTAATTTTTCACATCCGCTATTGTTACAGATAAGTCCTCATATGAATATTTTTGTCCAATTTTTCATATAATTTTATTCGCAATTTCACCTAAAGTTCTTGAAAATTTTAAGGAAAAATATTCATAACTTGCCTTTTAAAAATAAACATTTTATCGAAGGAAATTTGGCAACTCTTGAATGTTCATACGGCGTTCTTCCTTGGCACGGCAGCATAGGTATCACTTCAAAAATCAACTTTAAGAGCTCCTTCTGACGCCCTAGGGAGGGAGGGGGGTCGAGGAGAGCGTTACGCCATTTTTTTTTTTACGATTTATAGGATAGGGACCTACGCCACAAAAGCGTTACAAGGGAGGAGGGGAGGGGTCGAAAATAGAGAAAAAGTGCGTTACGTAATTTAGAGCCGCTCATCGGTTTTCACCGATTTTTGACCTCTGTCTCCAAAAAAAAGTCCCCCTTCCCTCTCCCGCCTTCCTTTTGAGGTGTCGCTAGCAATTTGTTAAAAAAGGTATTTTATCAAATGCATAGGCAGATAGTCATATACTCTTCCTTTGATAGTTAAAGTTTCTCGTTCCCTAAAATTATCCGTGCAGTCTCCAAACTCACTGACCGAAAGAGGAAAAAAAATTCCATTTCTTCAAAGGAAGTAAAAACAATCATTGCAGAAGGAATGCAGCCTCAGTTTAAACAACACAACCACACCTTAAAGACTCGATTTTTGTTGTCGAGTTATAGAGCATGCATATGCATACATGATTTAACTGCGAAAAAGAAAGAATTCATGTTAGGGACTTCGAAAGGGAAACCGAAGTCCCATACTGCCGTATTAAGAATGAACGCCGTATGAGCCTTCAGGCGTTGCCAAATGTCTCTCAACATATTACGAATTTTCCGAAAAATTTGCAAATAGTTATTCCAGTCCTTCCAGATTATTTTTGAGCATTTTTTTCGTAATTCAATCTGAAGTGTCTGAAAATTTTAAGGAAAAATATTCATAGCGTCTTTAAAAAAGACATAATTTCTGAGAGGCAATTTGACAACATTTGAATGTTCATACGGCGTTTTTCCTTAGCACGGCAGTATAGCGTGGCTGCATCATGAAGTTGAGTGAAAAAAAAGCAACGAGGACAAAAACCTTTCGCCTCCTCTCTCCCGCGGAGACTACTCGATTCTGACGTAATATAGCTCCCATAAGATCCAAGAAAAGGATTAAACAAACACAAATGCATGAAAATGAATGTTCATCGAAGCTTTCATTGGACGCGGTGGTTTGCATTTCAATTTCGGTTTCTAGCCAATTATTAGTGTTCATAACTGCAGGGCCGGATTAAAGGGGTGGCCACATGGACCGCGGCCCATGGCGGCAAATCTAAGGGGCGGCAAAAATTTGCAATTTTTTAAAATGTAGGTATAAAAAAAAATCGGATTTATAAAAACAAAATTACAAACGAGAAAAGGCGACAAAATCTCTCATTTCCTGAGAGTGTAGTAATTTCTGATTTTGTCGTCTCTTTGTGATACAAGAGACAGCACCTTCAATAAGTCGAGTTAAGAGAGAGACCATAACACGCAATTTGGCCTGGAACGGCGCGACTTAGAGAGAAATGATAACGAGGACTTGAGATGAAAAGGAGAAGCCCTCGGCGCGGCGATCGGCATGTAACACATATTAGCGCCTACAAGACTGCACGAATACTTCACGGATCGCATCAAACACAGTGCGGTCATTGCGGTCAGCGTGAAACGGATAGCGCCTACAAGAATGCATGAATACTTCACGCATTGCGCCAAACACAAAACGGCCAGCGTGAAACGCATAGCGCCTACAAGACTGCGTGAATACTTCACGCACTGCGTCCAACACGGTGCGGTCTGCGCGGCGTGGCGCGGCGCGGCGGCGGAAGTTAAAATCATTGAGCCACATTTATGTTTGTTCTTTCATAATTTTTTCGTTCATTTCTTATGAATGGAGGGCCTTGTCCACACAGAGATAGGTTTACGGAACTTAACTTTTGCGCAAAGTTTCGTGAACTTTTGCTAGTAGTGTTGACAGGGCTTTCCCAAAAAAATGTGTTCAACACGAGTAAATGCGTCTTATGCACCCCTCGCCCTCCCCCGCTGCGCTGGCACGTTCATTTGATGGTTTTTATCGAGTTTCGAAACGAATGAGAAGGGGGCGGCAAAATATAGGCGGCCCATGGGCGGCAAGTAGGTGAATCTGGTCCTGCATAACTAAACTTGATTTTAAAATTATTAGATTAGAGGGCTAAACTTTTAAGACACTACATACTTGAAGTCCTTTTGATAACGCTTCCAGATTAAAAATTTCAACATGTTCGAAGAATATTTGGAAACAAATTCCAAGACACGAAGGAAGCTGTACGATTTTAGCACGTAGCCTTGATTCGGCTGGTCTTGGAATTAGTGTAAAGAAGTTTGTGATCCTCAGAAAAAACGAGCAAAATTATTGAACACTTTCAAAATTGAGTAAATTAACGCTTTCAGTAGTCCGTTGAACACCAACACAGTCGACAGTCGGGTGATTCCACGACGATGAATTTAAAAGAGCGATCGATTTATTTCGGACCTATACTGTGACTTCGCGTTAAGATAGGATTACCTATGAAAATGCACTTGCAGAAAATCCCTGACGGCTATGGATGCAAGTCACGAAGGAGTAGAAGGAGTATGTGTCTGTACCTACTTAGCACGGTTGGCACCTTCTGACTGGCTGTGAGCCAAATTTCGAGAAAAATCGTAATGGCCGGGTGAGCGTTGAGAGCCGTTGAGTTGTCGCGATTATGTAAAAGAACATGCAATTACGTTTAAGAAGCGCTATAGCCTTATGGCAATCAAGGCTGTTGGTGCGACTGTGAATAAACACTTTTAAACAGTGGAACATAGAACTATTTGACCACAAGGAGTTTCCAATGCATAAATTCCATTACTGATGCACAAATCCATGCTAAGGGGGAGAAAATTTTCCTGTCTTGGGATCCGACCTGCTTTTTTTTTTTTTTTTTTTCAAACCTGGAGCTTACAAAAATTAGAATTCTATGGCAAACCTATTTTGAAAACGACAATTTTTCAAAAAAATTTTCCAAATGAATATGATTGCGAATTTTTGCAGATAGCTTTGTAAGTAAGTTCAGTGAGGAACTTTGTTGATTTGGTCCTCCCAAGTTGCCAATAAAATCTTTAAAATTGAACCCCGTCAAACGATGCCATTGGAATATTACACGGGCTCCCATGATGGTAACCCATCTAGAACTGGCCCATATGTTCCCATGGGAATCCTTGATGAATCTAAGGTAACCATCTGAGTCGCTGAAGTCACTCCGACTGCTCCATGGGTCCTGTTGGTCTCCTCATTCTTCCCATAGAGACACATGCCCCCATAAAATCCCCATAGAGATCCATTGGAATTTTATGGGCCTCTTTGGGACCGTTTTGGTAGGGCAGTAAGTTGCCAGGCTCTTTAAGTTTTGCATTATAGAATGTTTAATTCAGTTTCAGGGAATTGATCCCTTGTTAAATCCTTATGAACTGATTTATTCATTCATATAAGCATAAGCAGATAACATAACCCCCTCCCGCATTTGTGCCCATAAAACCGAGGTACGTGTCTTGCAGTTTCACCGGCTATATCGCGTGAAACTTAATTTTTTCCGCTGAGTGTTATTGAAGAAGATAATTTATTGTAACCCTGTTTTTTTCTATTGGATCGCGTTTCGCAGAAAGGAACCAAGCCACACTAGCTATTGCCAAATTCAACTTGACAATTTAAATATTTACGATAGAAAATTTGTGCGGAAGCTTGTGAAAATTTTATGGAATTTGCTTCGTATTGTGCAGAAAATTCTCTGAAATTTTCACAAAAATCCACACGACCGTTTTCACGTAAAAAGTTAAAAATGCATCAGTAAATTTGGCAATAGCTGATGTGGCATGGTTCCTTTCTGCTTAACGCGGTCCTACTCTAACTCGTGTGACTTGGTTCATTTTTGTGAAAGTTTGCCCCAAGAAGGTCTAGATATATGGTGAAGAATTTCGACAAAATTACAATCAAGGAAGCTTCTTAAAGCAGCATTTTGACGCGTACCGGCCGGCGCGGCGGCCGCGGCGTGCCCGCTGCTGAACCACTTACCCACGCGATCAAGGGGTGTGTTTGTTGGCAGAGCGCAGTGACTCAACTCAGATTCTCCAGTGCTATTTTCTATATCCCCCTCATCCTGTCTGCTGAGCGGTTGCATTAACAAGCACGGGCTTACATAACGGCAATCACCGCCATTCATAATCACGTCTTACTCGCGGAATCACGCGCGGTTGCCACACGCAACCGCATTGGACTGCGACAGGAAACACGGAATTTCTTTTCACGGGCATGTGAATTATTTTGAATTTTTTAAAAAATGTGTAAATGTGTAATGTTCCTACCTCGAAATTCACCTTTGAAAACTTTTTTATAAACAAATACATGAAAATCTCTTAAAAAATCAAAAAATTATCTTTCGAGAGCCAGCTCAGATCCTGGACGGAGAGGGGGAGAGGGCAGAATAACTATGCTCAAATCGTGGGTAACTTGAAATATTATTAACAATTTTTCCACAAAAAAATCATTCTGGTAGTCACTGAGCATGGGATGGTCCGTAATTACTTAAGGGACTTTTCCCAATTGGACGTATTTATGCTAAAAGGAACTATGTTCAACGCAAACCCTATGCACATAGTTCCTTTTAGCATAAATACGTCCAATTGTTCTTCTCTTTTTGTCTCTCTGAAATCCACCCCCCCCTCTCCACGTCTACCTTGTAATATTCCTATTGTTAAAAGAAGACACAGGTAAGTGGTCGAGAACTTGTGCTGAAATAAATTTGTGTTGATTTAAGTAACCCCAATTTATTCTAGTAAATATTACGCTGAGCGCAGTGCTTATTTAAAAGCGCGCATGAATACCATAAGAGGAAAATCGTAGTTACATTGAAAAACTTTGCAGTTTTATGTTTAAAACTGCAAACTGTTTTATGTTTTAAATAGTAGATAAGTTTAAAATATGATTGGAAAATTCTGTTGTTTTCAAAAAACAACAAGTCTTTTTTCGCCCCATTCAAGTAGGTATCTTGCCTTACGTAAGGCATCGCTTGGCGACCCCCCCCCCTCCTTCCCTTCATAAGTCACCTCTTGACTCCCCTTGGTGCCTTACGTAATTTGTAGAAGGTTACCATCACCATAACTGACAATTGGCCGGCACAAAGGAATAAAATAAGTTGATGAATGAGAACGAATTTTTCGATTAGAACCTTCGCGCACAAGTTACCTATTCCTGATGTAAAGTTGCGACAAAATTTTCTTCTTTTGCTCAGAAAATTCGAGAAATGGAATGGCTTTACGGTTCGTGCCAGACAGTGCAATCTAGGCCTAGTTAATTCTGGAATTGGACTTTATGGGACTAATACCAGCAATATAGTTAAACTAGGAACAACTAGCGACCCCGTCATTTTATACTATTCAACGAAATTTAAATTTTATTTGACACACACCTACTCACGAAAAAAATGTTTGAGAGCAGATGTTCATGACAGGAAAAAATATGACCGAAATACGATTCTAGGCAAGACAAAACCACTAAGAAACGTTGCCCGAACTGTATGTAATAAGGTGGTAAAATAATATTCCATTATGCATCTGCCGGAGCTGAACACTCTTTCCCCTTAATCTTGTACCTACTGATTGGAGCTCAAAATTATTGACTCTGATTGACATTTTTGGCCTTGTTTTTCCTGCAAACTGGTGAAAAGTTAACACTATTTTACCACCTTGTTACAATTCTAAGTGATCAGATTAATGATGTTATTTGTCATTCCAATGTTCCAGTTACGATCTGGATCATCCGCATGTATACTGCCGTGCTAAGGAAGAACGCCGTATAGGTATGTACATTCAAGAGTTGCCAAACTTTCTTCGATAAAATGTTTATTTTTGAAGAAAGTCGAGAATCCTTTCTTCTGAAATGCCTTGATAATTTTTAAAACTAACAGCGAATAAAATTCTCTAACAAATTGGAGGAAAAATGTTCACGGATTTCCCTGTAAATAGGTACTTTAACATAAGACATTAGGCAACGTCCCACCACCCGCACAGGGGAAACTACCCTCGGAACTTCTGGAACTCCGAAACTTCTTGGATGAGCCTGAACATTATTATTTTTCGCGTTATCTGCTGCAGCAGTCCTACACTTACGTAACTTATGTTTATAAATTACTCATTTTTAGGACTCAGAGCTCGTCCAAAGAGAAAAAGACAATTATATAACTTGGAGAGTGATTCAGCATGGTTTGAGTAAATACGATTCTTAATCTCTTCCCTGAGCGGAAAGAGACACGGCAAACATTTTTGTGATATTGATCTGGTTGATTTTATGCATCTAATGTCATGTTGCGACCAAGGAGACAATCGCGTAAGAACAGGATCATTAGAGCACAGGGGAATGACCCTCTACCGTACCGTAAATCATCCAAAAAAATGAAACACTTATTCGATGGTGAAACTCCCAAACCACATATCCCATTGCGGCGTTGCAGACTTTAATCCGTCTCACTTTATTTTTCAAATGGGAAGCCACGCAATGAAAATGAAAACGCAATCTTGAAAATTTTGCCTCCTTAGACGGTCACACATTATAAATGGACTAAATTTTGCAATAGGTTTAGGTCCTATTTCAGGTTCATTACAGAAACAACATACGTATGTGCCATAAATTTTCATATGCAGATAGGTTCCTCTATTAATGAACCAGAGACAGTGGTTCCTGATTACAAAATGAAGTTCAAATGAAATCAGAAAGGTCATTGACATCACGATGCAGCGGAATAAAGATTAGCTACGAGAATGACAATTTTTCCCCTTTATGACACTGCGGTGAAGAATAAAATACTTTTGAACTCATCACAAAGTCTCAAAGTCGCATAAACTTGTGCCCTGGTCTGGTATGTTGTCAAGGCCAACTTTTACGGTAAAAGCTGACCTTGTCAACATACCAGATTAGTGAAGTTTCGCCGTTCCTAAGGCTCGCGTATTTATCTTTATACCATTAATCGCTTTTCATGAGAATCTACCTTACTTTTTCCATCGGTTCTATGGTAATTTTATTTTCCCTCGAGGAATATCAAACTTACTTTAAAAGATTTAAATTTCCAATATTAGCAAAAATGTCAAGTTTTCTCTGAATTTTTTTTTTTTTTGCTGTAGTGCAAGATGTACCTAAGGTGAAGGCAAGGATTTGGACAAGAATATTGAATGCTGTTCAAATGGAAAATTAAATTATTTTTTTGGAAGGGGCGCATTCTTAGCATGCAGTCAAAGGTAAAATATTGATTGCCGTGCAAATACGTTCGGCACAAAATTTTACACACAAACTAAATTGCACTGAATAGTTTAGCCGGGGAACTTACGATTAGAGACATACAAAAATTAATGGAATTTAAATCCGCCCTCAGAAACTGACGATAAAAAATTTCGTGCAAAAAAGCTAAATCAATCAATTCAGTTAGACGTTACAT